AAGGAAGGAAGGAAGGAAGGAAGGAAGGAAGGAAGGAAGGAAGGAAGGAAGGAAGGAAAACCTTGCTATGAAGAGCAATGAGTAAAATATTTTACACTCTATTTTTATCAGTACATAAAGACAAAAATTAAAAATAAAATAAAAATAAAAAATGCCTTCCAACAGTGCAATGGTTGAATGCATTTATGTAATATAAACAACATTATTCTTTGCTTTTTCTACACAGTCCTCTCTGGTCATGCTTTACATCCAGAATGTCCCAATGGAAGAAAGCAAACGACACCGGTCACTTCAGAGACAACTGAAGTAATAAAACACAACTTAACTCTGAACCACTTTTCATGACTGTCAGAGTTATCACGTTAATTGTTAAATAGGATTTTCTACAAATATACAACATATAAAAACTGTTAAATATATAACTTTAGGCTTTTCAAAATACATTTAATGATCTCTTTCAAACAAGTGTTACTTTTGTTTTCTCTTTAATTTGCTTTCTGGTGCTAAATGGTGTATCAGATGAGACATAGGCCACAGATGACCAAACATGCTCTTTGCAAATACTGTATTATCCAACTTTAACTATCAAAAATGGAACTGTAGAAGAGGCATGTTTAACTGGTTAAAACGGAAAATGATTTTAGTACGAGAAAGTCAATCTAAGTACAGAGGAATAAAGGTGCCGTGTAGACAGTTTCTGTTTTCTTTTTGTCCATGATTTTCAAACATAGGTCATTTTCTCTCAGTGCTCCATTACATTCTCTTGAACATGGCATTTCAAGAGCAGGTCTCTGAGTTAGTTTTTACTTCAGCTTTCCATAAAGACTTCTGCTGGACAACATTTCAGCTTTGTGAAAGCTGGAATAATGTCTTTGTGGAGATCTCCTTCAATTTAATGACATAACTCTATTAAGAGTAAGATTGTGTCCACTTTAAAATAGATTTTGCTCTTTGGTCTATTGTAAATACTGAAAGTATAAGAAAATAAAAGCAATTCAGACAGTTTAGGGCACAAGAAGAGTTTCTCTTTTGCACCTCAGTGTCCTCCCATAGGCAAAACAGTCTTCTCTAAGGCTGATTGGGATGATACTCTTCATTGTAGCAGACTCTTCGGATTGAAACATGTAGGTAACAGCAAGTCCAGCAGTGGTGTGTAACGCAGATGAAACGTTAACCATGAACTTTTTTGTATTGCTAATGCCCAAGCATATCTCTTTTTCTATATTCCTTAGTCCAGTGATCCTTAGAATGGTAGAACAAACTTTAGCTCATAATGCAGAGGAATTATGCTGTCATTTATGAGATACAGAGAAACAGACAGTTGAGCTGATGACATATAACAGATGATGATCAACAGCAGTGAAACTTGACTAAGTTAAGTAGCTCACAGAGAGCCTAAACCACTCCTACGAGGATTCTGTGTTGCTGCATTTGTCAGGAGACCTGTAAATCAATAAAAACAAACGAGTCAGTGTTTTAATTTACAATTCTGCTTATCTTTGCTGTCCATTATCATAAAATACACTGTACTGAGATTTTTCAAGGAGACAGTTAATGAATTAGAAGATATTTATTTTGCACAGCATTTTCCCTGAGAAAAAAACATATGAAAAAGCCTATATTATATTATAAAAATATTATGCTTTAATGATTATTTCTAATAAATGATAAATTACATTAACATCAATGCCATCTAATTTCTCCTAAGCTTCATGCACATTCTCTCTCATAAAAATCACAGAATGTTCTTCTACACACATTAAAGTTACAACTAACAATGTCAAATATACATGGTGATTAAGATTGCTTTTAATTTTTATGTTTAGGATGTAATGAAAAATGGACTTGAAAGCCATGACCATATATTAAAAATGCAAAGATGTTTGTACTGGAGGCTTTTCTGCAGTTAATTTTCCAAAGAGCACTAGAGTGTGCCTAATTTAATCAATACTGCCCTCTAGCGATGCTATTACAAGTGCAAATTAATGTAAATAATGGCTATTAATAGTCAATTTAATCACATAATTGTTTTAGTTATGCACCAGGGGGAAAAAAAAAAAAAACAAAACTAAAAAAAACTAAACAAAACACAAGACAATAAAAATGGGCAAAGTACTGCCCAATGAACCTGTTGCAAAGAAAATTGAATGGAAGCAGTATTTTGAAAGAAAAACAGAACTAAAATTCACACTATTAAAGAAATCAAGAGTACTGGAAGACAGCACAAACACAAATGAGAAAATAATGGCTTATTTATACAAAAAAGAGCCAGCTACTCATGCTCACACAAAATATGTGTTTAGAAATGGTTTTAAAATTCCACAGATTCTGTGTACATCAAAATGTTGTGGGATGTATTAAGCAAGCATGATTGTTACAAAGTGCTGTTTGAATTTTCATACACTATCTTCTGCTTTGGCATTGTTCTGTCTCCGAGTAGTCAGAACTGTTATTACTGATGGAAATACCATGCAAAACTCCATAAAATACTGAACAGTGAATGTAAAAGAGCAAAACAAATAAGAAAATCCAATTCAATTGGTTTAAGCCATATATTAAATATTGCATTTTTAACCTAATCTTCAGAGCAGTACATGAAAGAAAAATCTGCCTCCAAATCAATTTAGTGACAGCTTGAAACATATGGATTTCTATATATATGCATGTAGAAAGAAAGAAAGAGAGAGAGAGAGAGGCAGATAGACAGATGAATTCTTTCCTTACAAGGCATAAACTGTATGTCATAGATTTCTGCTTTTGTCCTCTCACCTTTTCCAGGAAAAAACACCCCGGAAATCTTGAAAACAGCCTTTCCTTTTCGGACTAGTGATCAGATCTCCAAACCACATGGCCTCAGACAGGCTGAAGGCAAAAAACCTGGTTGATTATTGTGATATATTCCCCTTCTTAAATATACTTTCAGCAAGAGAAATAATGTTTTGATTCTATTAATTACCCTCTTTCCCCTTTAAACTCTTTCTTGACCTTCCTGCTATACCCCCTATTTTTCTTCCCATTAGAAAAGAACACAACTTTTAAGGTAGTAATACTTTTTAGGTTGAAAGACACAAAGAAAACAATTTATGGTTTATTAAGTCTGAAAGTAATCTGCTATGTGTTAAGAATTAGCTTGACATAGCTCCATCTTTCTTTTGTTATGCCAGAGTGGCCCACAGCTGAAAGCAACAGCGTAAACTGCTGATGGACTGCATGTTCAGTGTTTTCATAGTGTACTTCTCTACAATATTGGTCCCAGGAAGAAGAGAGAATTCAGGTACAACAACATACATTCAGAGATAACCTGCTGCTTTGTCATTTTATGGGGATAAAAGCTTCCTTCCTCTCTTGCTATCCCTGTCTCCACCTTAAACACCCCTGCTGCATGAATATGGTATTAACACTTTAAAAGAAGACAAGAAGAGGGGAGAAAATTATGCACTTTAAAAGTGCTGAGGAAGGGCATAAAGCAGGCTTGAAATAAAGTGATGACTGGAAGAAGAACAGATTCGAGAACAGGAGGTGAATTTACAACTTTGGACAATGACAGGAGAAAATTAAATGAAAGGGGGAAAAACACATAGATTAGCCATGGAAGTATAAACATCACTTATTAATGAAGGCATGGAAAAGAAGTAAGATAGGTAATAAGAATAACAGATAAAAAGGGGAGAGAAGATAAGAGAGAGCATGATGAGTCCAGAGAAGAGGAAGAGAATGCACACCTACCCTCCCACCTCCTGTTTTTTCCCTTTCGTTCCTCATTACAGGTAAATTAATCACTCCCCAGAAAACAAGTCAAATAAGAGAAAAGAGGGACTCCTAAAAAAAAATAAAAAGGACTCATTTACTATTTATAGTAATAGTTCAATCCATGGAACAGAATCATAGAATTAGTTAGGTTGAAAAATACTTTTAAGACCATCAAGTCCACCCCAACACTTCCAAGTCCACCACTAAACCATGTCCATATAAGGCGACATATACGCATCTTTTAAATAATTCCAGGGATGGTGATTCAATCACTTCCCTTTGTAGCCTCTTCCAAGTCTTGACAAGCCTTTTAGTGAAGAAATTTTGACTAATAACCAATATAAACCTCCCCAGTGCAACTTGAGGGCGATATCACTCATTCTGTCACTTGTTACTTGGGAAAACGAACTGAGCCCCTTCTGGCTACAACCTCCTTTTGAAGCGATAAGGTCTCTCCTGACCCTCCTTTTCTCCAGGCTAAACAACCTCAGCTCCCTTAGCCACTCCTCAAAAATCTTGTGCTCCAGAATCTTCCCCAGCTTTGCTGCCCTTCTCTGGAAATGCTTCTGTACTTCAGTGTCTTTCTTGTAAGTGAGAGGCCCAAAACTGAACACAGGATTTGAGGTGTGGCCTCACTAGGGCCGAGTACAGGAGAAAATCACTACCCAGTCCTGCTGCCCATACTATTGTGGATACAAGCCAGGATTCCACTGGCTTTTCTGGCTGCCTGGGCACAGATGTCTCATGTTCAGCTGCTGCTGACCAGCACTCTCAGGTCCTTTTCCTTTTCTCCATCCACTCTTCCCCAGCCCTGTAGCACTGCATGGGGTTGTTGTGACCCGAGTGCAGGACTCACCACTTCACCCTGTAGGACCTCCTATAGTTGTCCTCCACCCACCCTGTCCAGAGCCCTCTGCAGAGTCTTTCTACCCTCCAGCAGATAAACACTTCCATCCAACTTGGTCATATGTGAACTGACTGAGGGTGCACTTAATGCCCTTGTTCAGATCATTGATTAAGATATTAAGCAGAACTGGCCCCAATACTGAGCCCTGGGGAACAACACTAGTGACTGTCTGCTAGCCAGATTTAATTCTTTTCACCACCACTCTCTAGGCTCAGTCATCCAGCATTTTTTTTTATCCAGTGATGGGTGCCCCTATCAAAGCATCCAATTTCACCAAGAGAGTGCTGTGGAAAACAGTATCAAAGGCTTTACCTAAGTTCTGGTAAACAAAATCAGCAGCCTTTCACTCATTCACTGAGTAGGTAGCCTTGGCATCAGATGAAGTTGGTCCAGCAGGTCAATGCCTTTCATAAACCCATTTTGGCAGGGCCTGATCCCCTGTGCATGGGCCACAGGATGACACTCAAGATGATCTGCTCCACGGCCTTCCCTGTCACCAAAGTCAGACTGAAAGATCTGTAATCCTAATCTACTCTGTGGAAGCCCAAGGTGGCAGTTCTGCTGACTTCCTTCTTTACTTCTCTAAGAATTGAAAATGTGAATTGAAACTCATGAGAAGTACCACTTCTCTAACAGGCAAGTTTAGGGTAAAATGGTTGCTCTTGATGGCTGTTTGGCAGCAATTTTTAGGATATTAATTAGGTCATCAGATTGCAATAATAATTATAAATTAAATAACTACTTACATAAAACTGCTTCAAATTTATTTTTGCATTGTTTTTGTTCTTTTTTCCCTTCACTTAGAAAATTTGTAGAAGCATCAAATCAGAGAAAGGCTGCATAACTATCACACAGAATAACATTTTTTCTGTTCATACACAGAACTCATGTCATTTCTAGGTACATACATGTCTGTATGTCCCTGACTTCAGTGAAGTCAAAATTTCTTCTCAGTTCTTCAGATAGCAGGTTCTGCTTCCTTTGGAAGGAGCCAAATATTTGGGCTGTAAGTCTGAGTTTCTTCAAATTTGAGATACTGAGCAGGAATCTAGTACCAGAAATTAAAATACTACTGTATGTTTTCTGACTGTTTACATGGTGGAAGTCCAAGCCCCCGTATGTTCCACAGGAATCTGCTCAAGAGGAAAACAAATTTTCCTGCTAATAATCCAAAACATAAGAAGCAATACAGTTCACATGACCATATACATCTTGCTGTTCTTGGGTGGCTTGAATATGTCCTGAGAGCAATTATAACACAATCCATTTGATTTGTTTTACTCTGGAGGGAGTAGAATAAGGGCCAGTCTAGCCCCAGCTGTGCCCTAATGGCACATAATGCATTTTATTTCTTCATTTTTATGGTCAAAACAAAGAAAAAAAAGTTATGCCAGTAACCTTGAGAGGATAAAAATGTATGACGCTTTGCTGACTTACACAGGCTTTCCACCAAAAGAAACCCCCACAAAATCCTCTCTTTCAGTGTAGTATCTAGGATTTAACTGAGTGACAAAAATGTTTGACTTTCTCATCACAACCAGAAGTTTGAGCCAGGCTTACTGCAAGTGGGAAATATTTTCAGTTAGGATTGAGTTTCAAGTATGTCTTGACCTTTTACTTTATATGGAATCCACATAAATACCAACAATTTCATGTCAAGACTGATAAAACTTTAGAAGTTTCATGGTTTTCACTCTGTATTTTTAGAATAGAGTTCATTAAAGTTGGTGGTTTTGTTGCTAGAGTAGCCAAGTGCTCTTACAAGTCTACCTATTGGCACATTGGC